GGAGGTCCCCCCCACCGCTGATTGTGCTTCGGAGGCACGATCAGCGGCAGGGGGAACCTCAGAGATGCCTCTCATGGTGGCCGAGAAGCCCTGGAAGGCATCCGGAGGCAGATCTGCGGCCTACGGACTAGAAGGGAGAGGCAGGGAAAGCGCCAAAGTTGAATTTGGCGCTTTCCCCACCTCCCCATTCCGGTCCATAGGTCGATTCTCCAGCCACAAGATTTCCAATTGACTTGCGGCCGGAGAAGTATGTAAGTGAAGCCATTCGTAAGTTGAGACTCCACTGTATTTGCTTTAAGCAGCAAATGAATGCAGGGCAAAATAGTACTGGTAAAGGTTGGAAGATTAAAGGTAATAATAGGAAATTTGGCAAGTGTACTTGATTTGCCTGATATTTTCCTAGATCTTAGAAAATGGTCACTGGCTATGCTGACTAGAGGATTCTGGGAGCTCTGGTCCAGAAAAAAATTCCAGACTAGTTTTTCATCATATCACGTTGAATCACTGCAGTCGATTTCTGTATTTACCTTTTCCCATTTATTCATTTCAGCAAGGATCCACCAATTGTGAAATGGAGCTTTCCCAGTACTTCTTACAGGATGGTACAAGTCATTTGTTACTTTCGGAAACTATGTTAACTGGCTCCAGTGATGAGGAGCCACTTCGTCCTAAAAGTGGGGGCAGCTCCGTTGATGAGAACTTTCTTTATTTGAACATTCCAGGTAAGCTATATGAATATTGTAAGGCAATTGAAAAAGATGCGGGAGTTTCTTCCTGTGCTGTTGCCCTTTTTGTCTGGAAGAATAAAGGCAACAATAGGAAAGATAACAAGTGTACTTGACTTAGTTGATTCTTTTCTCAAATCGTAGAAAATGGTGAATGGCCATGTTGGGTCACAGATTATAGGAGGTGTGATCTGGAAAAATAACTTTTCCAGATTCTAGTCTTGCATTGTTTCATATCGAATCACTGCAGTCAATATCTCTGTTTAGTTTTCCCGGTCTGGAAGTCCTGGCTTTGACAAAAATAGTGTCTGGTTTATTTACTTACTTGTTTGAGTGCTTATTTTCATATATAGCTGTCCAGTAATGGAGGATTTCTATGCTTTAGGTCTCTGGCTGCAGAGCCAGAGGTTGGGAGTTTGAGTCCCCAGTGTGCCGCTTGATTAGGGGCTGCACTTGATGATCCCAAGGGTGCCTTCCAGCCCTGCAGTTTTTCTCAGTTTTTCATTCTATTCTAATTTTCACCCACCTCAGTTCATTTGGAAGGGGCTTCCAGAGTGGAGCCTTTGCAAATGTCTAAGGATAAGGGATAGATGGAAGGTAACATTTCAGATCATTAAATTGTCAGATCATTGTGACATCTGTTTTTTTCCAGCAGTGAAGGAGTCTAATCAATGTGAGACCCCAGGCAGTGGGAGCAACTCACCTCGTCCTTTCAACAAGCCAAGGGATCCTGCTACTCGACATGTTAGTTTCAGTGATAGCCCCAAAGGTACACGTACTGCGTTCCAGAGACAAAGAAGGATTGCTTTCTATGATGGTGATGCAAGTGATGAGGATGACTTTGCCAAACAAGATGGCCTCCAATTTCAAAGGTTGGCAAGGTCCAAAGAGCAAAGGAGATCAGAAGGCAACTGTGATATCACCGCTGCAACTGCTCCAGTAGAAGGTGGTGACACAAACCGGGAAAGAGAATTTGCAACAAGTGCCCATAATGATTCAGTTGCCAGAGGTTTTAGAGATCTGACAGAGAATGTTGTGGAACATCCAGCAGAATCCTCTTTCCTTCCAACCAGATCATCTGACCACCCCATAATACCCGAGACTCACCCAGGCCACCTGAGCTTGAAGGACTTCCGAGAGGCACAGCTAGAAACTAAAAGATCCCCTAAACTGGAGCACAAAGCAGTCACCCGAGTTAAAAGTCTGATGAGCATTGAATACCATGGTATCTCAAGGCACAAGAATGAGGAACACAGTGCTTGCATCAGGCCCAGTGGGAGGGTGCTCCCACATGTTCAGAGGAGTGAAGCACAGGAGAATCATCATGGACAGAACCACAGTGAAGCAATTACCTTAACTCGAAGTGAAAATGAATCATTTGGCCTAGATCTTGAAATCCACGCTGCTCCCTTACGCATTGTGATAACAGGCTTGCGACCAGGCGGAGCAGCTGAAAGGGTAACCCTCTTAATTACATTTTTCTGGAGTTTATTGTTTTGCTTGATCAAATGGTTTCTGAAAGCATGGTCAGATTTTCTCGTCCTTCTTCCCTGCACCAAGAAGGAAGAAGAGCCAGGAAGGGAATACCTATGAAGTAGGAAGAACTGGCAGAAATGCCTTTCACAGTAGTCTTCAGGTTGGGGCTGGAGAAATGGGGAAGGGTTTGTCCTGAGGTCTCTTGAGACTCTGGGCCAATTGTTTTCATCCTCTAACTGGATATTTAATTCTGAGATAAGACAAGATGGTGCAAAGACGTTTAGATACATCCTTCCTAGGAAGTATTAAATTTTGTGTGTATTGCATCCTCAGTTCCACTTTGCCTAAAATATCTTTTTAATTGGGTGCTTTATCTTGATATAACCTAGGCTGGCTTAAACCCTAAAGACTCGGTAGGGGAAAATGCTGTTAGGAAAGAATCCATTTTTTATTTGCACCAGTGCTCATAGCCCCACTGCCACTTTAGAGGAAGGAGTGATCATATCTGTGTAGCATACAAGTCATTTAGAAGCCAAAAGTATTAAATTTTAAAAGGTATATAGCATTTTGACAGGGAAGAACAAGAGACTGCCATTTAAATTTTAAAAATTTAACACATGGTTATTTATTCATTTCTTTTACCTACACTTGTGATTTTCAAATTATTGTAAAGAGGATCCCCTTTAGGAAACTCACAATAATTCATGCAAGATATTAGAAAGCCCAATAGTGTAGAAGCAATTGATGAATAAGGTTATTCACCATAATAGCTTGATATAGATTTTCCGTGTTTCAGGGTTTTTATAACACTTTGTTCCAGAAGCTGGGGATGAACAACATAGGAGTTCTCAGTGCTTTCTCACCTGACTTCTGAGCTTTGAAGAAGGGTCTGATTGGCTACAGTGTGATTTAACAAAGGAGTTACTGACTGATCTTGTCTGATTTAGCAGAATGCTGGCTTGCTGGATCAGAAGTTGTAATCCTACGAAAGTAATTTCCCAAAACGTGTGTCCCATAACTGAACTAAAACTTCCTTATACTTTTGGCAGTCTGTGGTCTGAATGAGGGGTACTCCTCTTTGAGGTGCAGAGTAAAGTGCTCCACTTCCTCAGTCATGCCCCGTGCTGTAAACCTATGGACTGTATGTAACCATACCAGTGTGTGATGATAAGAGGAGGTCCCATTGCTTTCACTCCTAGCTTTGAAACTTTTGGAAGATGGGGGAGCATGTCTCACCCAGCTCTGTCTCGTGTTCCAATCCTCTGTAGTCTTAGAAGGCTAAGGCTGGAGACTGAGAGGTGGAGTGGCTGCTGCCTACAAAAATTTACAAAACCTCAGTCCTCATAACTAATCAGATGCTTCATCCAGTAGCCTGAAAATAGGAATGCCTATTTTCAGGAATGCAGCTGCAGCTACATGGCCAGAACAACGTTGAGAATCCATTGCTGCACCATCCCACAAGATCTGCCCAAGAGTGTCACTTCTGTAGCAATCTCTGATGTGATGTTGGAACACCTCAGGTTTATTTGTCGGGGACGTTCATCCTAATCTTGTTCATTCAGAAGTGATTCAGGATTTCAAGTTCGCCATGACAACTGTGGACCTAACTGAATTAGCAACTAACCTTGTATTAGTAGCTGGCCCTCTACACAAGTCGCTGGGCATACTTTGGATATGGAATGCTATTCTGGTTGAGTTGATGATCTAAAGATGGAGAAGTTGCATGTGACACTGTTGTAATGGACACATTGCTGTCTGGTTAGTGTTAGACTGGCAACTGATGTGAAGCTCAGCAAGGGTGGTGAACCAATGAAAATAGTCTGCCTCTGGGGCCTGAAGGAACTGAACAATTTCCTGAATGTGCTTGAGAGCTTTGTATTTGCGTTGTTGTACTGTTGAAGCCCTGACTGATGTGTGGAACATGGAAGGAGCTAGAATGGTTGACAGGATTGCACTTCTCGTTGTGTAAAGCGAGGTCAGCTGCTTTGTTTAATGATATTGAGGGATATGAAAGAAGAGCAACAGCAGCTAGACTGTTAGTGGAAGATAACACTGCATGAATCAGACCACAAATGGGCCGTAAGCCATCTGAAACAGTGTGCTGCAGTGACATAGGCAGCTAAGAAAGCTCATGTCTCTGCTACCGTGAGATCCAAACGTAGTACATGCCGGTGCTTCTCCAAAGTCTGCAAGGTCATCTTCAGCAGAGTGATGGACAGCAGGTGCCAGTGTAGTTGGTTCCTCACTGTGAGCATCTTGCTTTGCATTTTGCAGACAAAGTCCATCAGCAGTTTTTATTTATTTATTTATTTATTAGATTTTTACCCCGCCCCTCTAGACAATGATACTATTGACCATGTGATCCTGTTGACTGGAAAGAATTGCCCCTCTGATAGGATGGATTAATACCCTGAGAGTACTCTTGATTCTGCAGTATCTTGAGATTCCCAGCGGCAGAGTTGACACGGCGTGTCTTTGCAGAACTTTGCTTAGTGGACCAGCTGCAACCTTTCCTGAATCAACCTGACTTGGCAATAGCCTTCATATGCTATAGCTTCATCATGTCTTGACTATTGTAATGTCCTTGTGTGGAGCTATCATTAAGGAGCATCTAGGAATTATATCAGAAAGATTGGGATATCCCGGACAACCCAGACAATGTAGTTGCTGACCTTGAGCCAGACATCCTGGAGAGTGAAGTCAAGTGGGCCTTAGAAAGCCTGGCTAACAACAAGGCCAGTGGAGGTGATGGTATTCCAGTTGAACTATTTAAAATCTTAAAAGATGATGCTGTTAAGGTGCTACATTCAATATGCCAGCAAGTTTGGAAAACTCAACAGTGGCCAGAGGATTGGAAAAGATCAGTCTACATCCCAATCCCAAAGAAAGGCAGTGCCAAAGAATGCTCCAACTACCGTACAATTGCACTCATTTCGCACGCTAGCAAGGTTATGCTCAAAATCCTACAAGGTAGGCTTCAGCAGTATGTGGACCGAGAACTCCCACAAGTACAATCGGGATTCCGAAGGGGCAGAAGAACTAGGGACCAAATTGCTAACATGCGCTGGATTATAGAGAAAGCCAGAGAGTTCCAGAAAAATATCTACTTCTGCTTCATTGACTATGCAAAAGCCTTTGACTGAGTGGACCACAGCAAACTATGGCAAGTCCTTAAAGAAATGGGAGTGCCTCACCACCTTATCTATCTCCTGAGAAACCTATACATGGGACAGGAAGCAACATTTAAAACTGGATATAGAACAACTGATTGGTTCAAAATTGGGAAAGGAGTACGACAAAGCTGTATATTGTCCCCCAGCTTATTCAACTTATATGCAGAATACATCATGCGGAAGGCTGGAC